TATATTATCATCAGTTGTACAACATATTCCTAAAGAAATTCTTAAGGAAGGCTCTCAATATATTAATACAATATACCTTAAATTGAAAGGTCAGATTCTGAATACAGCTATGAAAGAAGATACTGTTATAAAAAAGAAAAAAGTATGGGGGCATGTTACAAATAAAATTATAGATATTTTACATCCGCTAATCTAAGCTACAAATATAGAGCAAAAACCTCTTATTCAAGTCCCGATAGAAGAGAAGCTAGAGGATCCTAAAGTGACTGAATCAGATGATCCCATGAATGATATAATACCAATAGGTTCTAATATTCTAAACTATGCTATTAAAGCTTATGCACAATGTTATTCAGTTGAAAAAAAAAATAGTCAAATATATTGGCCCAAACCTTTAGAGATAAATTTTTTACAAATAAAGGATGCTGACAATGTTACGACTATTTATTGCAAAATAGGAGGTTTGATAATACCTTGTGCAATGATTGATACAGGTTCATATTCTTCCATATTTTCAGATAATATTACTGAATTTGTCAAAGAGCTTTTAGGTATAAAAATTAATAGGAAATAAATTCATAGGCTTAATGGAGTTGCAAGTCAATCTATATCTATTAGCACTATATATGATGTTTCCATAACAATTGGTTTTGGGGATAATACAGCTAATATTATGGATGATATTTCTGTTGTGCCTGCGGAAAAAGATTAGAATAGAAAGAAAAATCTTTAGTAATTCTTAGTACTCAATGGCAATATCGAGCTGGATGGGAGCCTTTAATAAAAGGAGAATTTAAGGCAACATGTAATAGAAAGACTATTACCATCCCTCTATCTGTTCACAAATCTATACGCAATGTCTTCACTGTAAAAAAGAGGATTCTAAAGAGAATGGTCCTATAGAAAAAAAATTAGCTGATCAGACATGTCAATATTGTGAAAAGGAGTTCACATATCCCTATTTATTTTTACGCCATAAAATTCTAAATGTTGGATTAATGGTAAGTCTACTAATTTTACATTGGATTATAGTTGAGTCAATGAAGTGTCTATGTTAAGTCATAATCTAGATGATGTAGTATCTATATTGAGTTATAATTGAGTCAATGTAGAGTCTATGATCAAACTGGAATGAATGAACTATGAACATATAAGCGGAATGTATATTTTTTTTAGATATCAGGATCATCTTTAGCATCATCACGCTATCTATTTTACAAATTTCGAGCATCCTTTCATAAAAGCTAGTTAGTTCTATAGTGTCATCTATACAGCCAGGATTAATTTTCTGTACTCCTTCATTATAAGCAATAATGGTCTTATCCTTACTATAGATAATATCATTTAATACTTTAATAGTCTTTTTAGCAGAAGCAAAATCTTTTTTTAGAGTATTTTTATCTTTTTTAGTCTGAGAAATAGTAGTAGATAACTTACCAATTTCTTTATCTTTCTCAATCATGGTTTTTTCTAACGTGAAGATGTGAGATTTGAATTGTTTCTCAATATTATTAGTCTGTAATTTATATTAGCCTTCTAGTTGACGCTTAAGGTTATATGTTATCTGTTTCATATCTATCATGCATTTATTATATTCATCCTCTAAGCGATCCTTACGAGTATCATACTCATCTTTTAGATATTTACATTCTTCATCAACCAAAGTCTCAATAGTTTTTTTAATATTGTTTTTCTTCTGTCTTAGCAAAGTCTCACGTTCTTCTAACTGTTTTTCTAATCCATCCAATTGGGAAAAAGTATTGCTACCATCAGTGGAGGTCTTTGCTTTGATCTTAATTTTCTGATGATATTTACTCTTATAATACCTATTAATATTATTAGTAAGCAACTCCTCTATATCAGGATGAATTCCTCTAGCCTATTCCTCAAATAGTGGGTTATTTTTGCGGATTGTAAGACGTATCCATGCTTCTTTTTTTATGGATGAAGGTATTTGGTCAAGCAAATTCTTATAGTAATTATTGAAATGTGGTTGGTTAGTCATATGATTTAGTGACTTCAGTAAGATAATATAATCTTAGAAAAAAAAAAATCAGAAAGTTCAAAAAGTTCATATTTTTTCCAAAAGTTTAGGTATTTCATTATTTCTGACATAACTTTCCACCTAAAAAATGGTTAAAAATTTTACCGAGGGCTAGATTTCAGAATAAAAAAATACTAAGAATGTATATTTGCAAAATCGACCATTAGGGATCACTTTATTAAATTTTTCAGATAAATGCCTTTTTGGTTAAGAAATATAAAAAGAAAGCTATAAGGATAATTGTATAAAATGAATGATGCCTATAGAACTATAAGGAACTAAGAGGGTGGGAGTACTCAAATCCGTGGCTATAAATGAGAGTCCCTAGCATCAAAACATTTCTTTGCTCTATTGTAAATTGCTATACTATTTTTTTTTCCTATTGCTAACGATTATTATTACTATTACTGCTACTGCTATAGGATAACTCCTGAATCACAACTAGACATTTTTAGCGTCTCCGCTCACATTTGTTTGAGGGGAATAAAAACAGAAGTTAATATGATTTCTTTTCAAATGTACTGTATATGTAAAAAATTACTCTTATTGCACAGATCTATCTTGATCAGCCATAACGCAGATGCCTAATTATTACATATGATTATTGATCTCTACTTCAGACTAGTTAGATCAGACTGCTCAGGTTGGATTCCTTCTAAGTTTCGCCTTCTTATTACCAGATCTTTTCTTCACATATTTTACTTTGTGAACCTTCTTTTCTGAGTTGCGTATCACATAATCATAATCTGACTCAGATGAATTGGATGAATCTGTTAGTTCTTCACCAGATTCTAAACTATTCTGCTCTTCTACATAATTTCCTATCCAGTCTACAGTTCGTTCTAGCTTTTTAACCTTTTTCTTAAGCTCGAATAGGCAAGAGTAGGAAAATAATGTTTCTAAATGATTATCTATATCATTCAGCCTTTCCTCTAGTGCTTTGATTTTTACAGAAACTAATGTACTTTCGAATGATCTCATTTTAGTATTATTTATTATATTAGAAAAAAATATATATATATAATATTTATGTTACACTAATCTAGAAAAATACTATACTTATCAGACAAATATCAGTTTATTTGCATCATCAAAAAGGAACTTGGTTATAAATTGTTTTACTCCAAATCCAAAAGGTCTATTATATTTTTCTGGAGCTATTTCTAGAGAGATTCCTTCTTTTGTATATTTCTTCTTAAGGATATCTATTAATTCTAACTCTTCCTATTTATCTACATTCCACCATGGGACAACATTTTTAGCTATCTGCTGAATATTATATTTGACTATTTCTTTTTCTGTTCTTCAAGTATTCTATTATGAAGCATAAATCTTTTGATCTCTACCAGTTTTTTAGCTATTTCGATTTCCCTTTCAATAATTACCTCTGTTTCTGCTTTCTAATATTCTATATCATAGGGATATTCTGACATTTCTTCTTCAAATTCTAATTTATGATATTCTAATACTTGTATCTTCTATCTTCATCGAAATTTATGCTGGATTTCTTTATACCAAGTGCTATTTATCCAGTAGAGCTTATTAAGAACCTCTAATAGAAATTTTGAATGATTATAGCAATTGTATCTGTTATTTCGAGTGGATTGTATGAATACATTATATATAAATATATACTTTTCAGTGTATTATTGTTAGAAAAAAGTTCAAATTAAAAATATTTCTCAGAATTAAAAAAAACGTTTATCCTAACTTCTCTGATATTAGTTCTGCTCATCACTAGGCTATTTCTCTTCAACTATGAGTTTTATTTTTGGGTATAAGTTTTAGAAATCAGATAATATATTCTTTCGAATCTGTAAATACCCTGCTATTTCTATCGTTCCCAAACTGGGAGCCAGTCCTGGAATTTTAAAAATGTTTTTGGACTTATATACCTAGAACCTCTTATTGTGAGTCTTTTTAGATTAGGACACTCGGTTAAAAGCGCTTCCAGATTTTCATTGCTAAGTATGCGCAACCCACAATTTTCAAAACTTAGCTGTTGTAAATTTGGGCATGCCTTACATATTTCAGAAATGTATTCATCTGGCTCT